GGGGGGGAGGTCGCATGCGGGGGGATGGTCACGTGCGAGGAGGGTTGGCGTGGCGGTGGGGGATCGCGTGAGGAGAGGTTGACATGGCGTGGAGGGGAGGAATCGTCATTGCTGGGGGTTGCGTGGGGTGGTTGCACGCAGGGGAGAGGTCGACTTGGCGTGGGTCGATCGTGGCGGGGTCGTTGAGGTTAGGTCGCGATGGGGGGTTGGCACGGAGAGGTCGCAGCAAGGTCGGCGAGCTGACAGCACTGCCACGTTTCCACCACTAATCGTTTGCTCGCTCACACAAAAAAAACATTTTTCTGCAGCCTAAGAAACCGACTCGCGGATTCTGCCAGAGACTCAAGGGCAAGCAGGGTCGTTTCCGCGGCAACCTGTCGGGCAAGCGCGTGGATTTTTCCAGCAGAACTGTGATATCTCCTGATCCGAACCTACGAATCGATCAGGTGAGTGCCTCACGCAGACGAGTAGTGGCGTAGTTAGGGAGCGGGGCCAAAGGGGGCCATGGCCCCCCTGTTGATCCGAAAGTTAAAAAAATAATAAAATAAGAATTGTTCTACTAAAATGAGAATTGTCGTAGTCAGAATGAAGGCTGTACATGTACTCAAAAGTGCCTCAAATACTATCTCCTGCGATCTACATTTTCAAAATTTTCATACCTTTCGCCTGTTTTTCACCCCCCTCCTTGGAATGCTGAATCCGCCACTGAACAGTTACATATCTCAGGAGCAGTGAACTACGAACAAAAATGTCACCTTCTCGCATGGCGCCCAAAACAAAGATTGCAGAGCTGAGAGGTGGGGGAGCGTAGGGTGTGGAGAGGGAGGCGGAGGAACCATTAAAATATTAAGTCATCCACTTTTTTGTGCAACTTGCTGGTTTTGGCCCCCCCCTGTCTATCCTGGCTACGCCACTGCAGACAAGCGTGCCGATGAAACAACGGAACATGTCGATCCGTTGTTTGCCTGTTGGGGAACAGGTTGCAGTTCGAGGTTTACTGTACATTATAGATCCATTTCCATCACTCCATCACTCCATCACTTCTATTTATTTAGTTTCATTTGTTTAAATTTATCAGCATTTTCAATTATAATTTGTTTAACTAATGTGATACCTCCAAAATGTAATTCATATTGTAAATAATGTGAATTGAATTGAATTGAATTGAATTGTATTGTATTGAATTGAATTGAATTGTATTGAATTGAATTGTATTGTATTGAATTGTATTGTATTGTATTGAATTGAATTGTATTGAATTGTATTGAATTGTATTGAATTGAATGGTATTGTATTGAATTGTATTGAATTGAATTGAATTGTATTGAATTTGATTATATTGAATTGAACTGAATTGAACTGAATTGAATTGAATTGGTTGAAGGTGGCGGTGCCGGAACTGGTTGCCAAGATTCTCACGTACCCGGAGCGCGTATGCAAGTCTAACATAGAGCTGATGCGTAAGCTCGTCATCAATGGCTGCGACATCCACCCCGGAGCGAACTTCATCGATCAGCGCGACACCGGGATCAAGCGGTAATGATCGATGGGGAGCGCCGTCGGTTGGGCGGGCGGCGCGGGGAGGGGCGGCAGTCGAGCGGGCGGGCGGGGCGAGCGAGCGTTGCATATCGGTTACGTCGTAGAAACTGGACGTGACGTACGGTCGTGTCCGGATTTAGCCGTCACCATCGGCTGAATGACATTTTACGTCGTAGAAACTGAACGTAATGTGTTGTCATGCATTACTGATTAGGCTGTCACCTCTTCTAAACGATGTTTGTCTTTTTAATCGCTTCTATAATGTAATTCACTATTATATTGTGATTCCGAATGATGTCTTGTTGTCTTGATGTGAATGATGAGTTTTTGATCGCTTCTGTAATGTGATTGTTGGGTTTCTGATGAACAACTTCTAATCCTAACAGGTATCTCCGCTACGGAAATCGACAGAAGATCGCTCAAGAGCTGAAGGTATCATCTATCGCGCTGCTATCTACTCTCTGTCTCGTTTGTTTTATGGTTATGGTAGTGATCACCCTTCTGCCCTTGGTGGTGGGTGCTGGAATGATGGGATTCACTTCAGATGTTATTTTATTTTTATTTTATTTTATTTTATTTTATTTATATAAATTCTGGTGTTGGGTGCTGGAATGATGGGATTGACTTCAGATGTTATTTTATTTTTATTTTATTATATTGTATTGTTATAATTTTTGATATACGATTGGATTCTGTCAGAATGACACCTCTTTATGCCTGAGTAGGACTTACCCTCTGTGTTAGGTTGTCGCATGTTGTGAGAGTGACCTCTGATATTAGTGTGACCTCTAAATTTTGGTGGCTTTAAAACTCAGCAATCGACGGTCGAGTGTTCGGAGTGAGTTTTGACCTTACTGTGCCCTTTGCGTGACTTCTACGTTTCAGTTCGGCGACATCGTAGAACGTCACCTCATGGACAACGATGTCGTGCTCTTCAATCGACAGCCGTCGCTACACAAGCTCAGCATCATGGCGCATTACGTACGTTCACTTGTTTTCTCCGTCTCGTCAAATCTAAATCTATACGTGGGTAATTCGAACGTACACGTAAACAAACTGCAGTTGTGAACTAGCGGTAACGGAATGTCGCCATGAAACAACTGTCTTGTTGTGAAGGATTGTTGTTGCTTCGCACATGTGGGTGTCGATATGACGCGCAATATATCGCGTGCGTGTGATCATTGTGATGCCGTAATTCACTAGTTAGTTTTAGTAAATAAAAATATTTAAAAAGAAGAAAAGAAAAAAAGAACTAAACCCCAAATTTACGAATGTCGATAACTCTCGTCCGTCTGAGAATGCTCGACGTTAGTGAGTCAAGTTTACATATTCAACTGGCGAGATGGTCATGCAGCTATAGCGAATCACCATTGCGATGAGGACGTTCTAAAAACATTGCGAAGTAACAAAGTGCCACAATTTACCTGCACACGGAGCCTACAATTCAGCACACAGCAAGTAGGCGAGGCGTCAATGAATGCAACGTCGTGGCGAAACGAATTCGCGACACCTCCCATCCTCTCCCTCTTTCCGCATGCGCGTGCGCAACGCCTTCCCAGACTTGCCAACCCTTACGATTTTTTCGTATTCCTTACTAATTCCAAGATGTTTTTACGAATGTACGATCAAACAGAAAAACTTACGATTTTTTACGACTTAAAAATTAATGTGTTTTTTACTTTGTGAGCCGAGAAATTACTGGCAATTGTGAGCCATATTGGATCACGCGTTCACGTTGTTGTCGCGTGATCTAGAGTTAGTCCCATCATTCATTGCGCGCATAACATACAAACAAAATGGCCGCCTGCTGCAAGAAAAGAAAAGCCTTACTGTTTTCATGAATCACAGGTTGTCAGGTCTGCCTTCCTTCCCTTTCCCCTTCCCCTTCCGCTGTGAACACGACGATGATCCGTGGCTCCCCCTGCCTGTCCGCAGGCGAAGGTGCGTCCCCACCGGACGTTCCGCTTCAACGAGTGCGTCTGCAACCCGTACAACGCCGACTTTGACGGCGACGAGATGAACCTGCACCTGCCGCAGACCGAGGAGGCAAAGGCGGAGGCCATCGTGCTGATGGGCGTCAAGGCGAACCTCGTGACGCCGCGCAACGGCGAGCTGCTCATCGCCGCCATACAGGACTTCATCACCGGTAGGGGGCGCTGCGGGCGCGGGCGCTGCGGGCGCGGGCGCCGAGCGGGGTTCAGGCAGGGATGGGGTGGAGGGGGGTGGCGGGGAGGGGGGTGTGGGTGCGAGGCGACGGTTAGAGGTGGGGGTGCTCATCATGGGGTAGGAAGGGGGGTTGCGACGGGCTGTGAGAAACTGACGTGTGTTTATTTGTAGTTATGTGGTGGCAATATTATTAATTATTACATGTGAATTGTTGAATGTTATATATGTGAAAATTTAATGTGTATTGTTTAGTTATTAATATGTTTAATACTTGAACTTTTTTATTTAAGTCTAATATTAAATTAATGTGTGTAAAATTGTTTTGTGCACGAAAGGTATGACAAGCACTGCTCATTCGCGGCCATAAAGTACTTATTTCTCATTTTGCAGGTGGATATCTGCTCACGCAGAAGGAGGTGTTTTTCGAGCGAGGTCGCGCTTGTCAGATCATTGCAGCGATGCTAGCCGAGCAGGACCAGAATGTACTCATCAAGCTACCACCGCCCGCCATCATAAAGGTATCGTCATGAACACACATATATCTATGTAATATACATGTATATA